TTGTGTTTGTGTGTATTTTTTTTTATTGCGAAAATCGATGGCACCACCACCACAACAAATCACCGCTCTGGCTCGCTGCTGCATGCATGCGAAAAACACACGCGAATAATAATAATGATTTGATGACGTATCGCACGGGGTGTATCGCAATTTTTCACCCAAATGACCGAGCGCCGCAAATAAAAAATTTATCTGCCAATTTTCTACTTTTATTTGATCGGCGTAAATCAATCCCTCGCGTCGCTGCCTTTTTATACCCTGCCTCTCGCATTTTCCGGCGCCGCCCGACGGGGGTTGGCGAAACTTTTGCACAGATTAGAGGCAGGAAGAAGGGCTGGAAAATTCGCTGAACTTAGCAGAAATTTGTATCGACCCAGGAAATTTATGTGTTACGTGATTTTCATCTCCGGCAGAGTATTATTTGGAGATTAATTAATATTCAATTGTATTCAATGGTATAAAAACCTCAATTTATAATTAAAGTAATGAAATGTAGTAAATGAGATTTACTAGCAAATCTTTTTGGGTATTGTATTAAAGAGTTAATTTTCTCATTTATTCTCACATATCTTCAGGTACTTGAAAGATTTCTGAATGCTTAATGTCCTTTATGATATACCGTATAGATCATAGTAGCATATAATTCCTATTCAAATTTATACCTTTTTTAACGTATAATATAATAAAATTATACATAAATATTATATGCATGAAATATGATAAACGAGAAATAATGTAAATAAATTATGTATGCATTTATAAATTAATTATTTAATTTTAAAACTTTTAAAAATTTCTCTTGTAAAGTAAGAAAATAAAAAATAATACAATTTAAATGTGTACAATTTGTTTATTTTGTTCATATTTTATGCAGTCATTTTTATTGTTACACCTTGCAGTTATTGATGCTATGCCATAGTAAAGCTAATATATTAATCAAATTCTTTGATATGACTGAATCAATTAATTTCTTAAAATATATCCGGAAAGGGATTAAAAATTACTTACACGAAAGATAAAATCAAATTAAAATTTGTGACTAAATAATCATAAATTGAATATATCTAAATAATTTTGTTTCTTCAAAATTAATATATTTTTAGCTTTCATAGGACAGAGCTTTGGTGAATCAATTTAAAACCACCCCCATCAACCATATTAAAAATTCCAACGCCTCTCGAAACACAATGGGTGCATTTTTTTATACCGCGCATACAGAAATAATAATAATAACAAGCGAGGTGATCACAGACACTCTATACCCCTTTGAGTTGAGGAGCGCAAACATATTTTCATTGTGGCCGCACTCGACGAGTGGAAAAGCCATCACGGGGCTCATTTGACGGCATAAATAAATAAATAAGCAATGCACCCTCGAGTCGAGTGCTTATTTAGCCGCGGCTAGAGAGAGTGCTCGAGCCGGCGCGCAATAAAACAACACTAAAACGCCGCGCGAGCCAACCAAAGAATGAGAGATGGAGAGGAGAATATGAATAATATAATCGCATCATCAACACGGCACGGTTCGTTAGACATTTGACGTCTTAAGACACACCAGCACTCGGCCAATAATCTGAGTATTGTCTCGCGCGCGGAATTATTCAAAGAGTTTTGAGTTACACAATGGAGGAGAGGCTGCGCGCTCGCCGTGAGTCAGCAACTTTCGTTCGTCGTTCGGGTCCTTTGTGCCGAGGAAAATCAAAAGATGATGATGATCGGCCGAGTGCGCCGCTCCGAGAATTCCTGCGATAATTACGCCTGAATACCTGTGGGAAAATAGCCGTGAATTATTTTTCCCTAAGTGGATAATGAAGGGGCCGCGTAGACCAATGGTCCGGATTCCGCGCATTTTTTGCACTTGGCCCGCCAATTAGACCCGGTGACAAAGGAGCAGTGCTACACACACGTGGTCAATAACAACGAAATTATTAGCTAGAAAGCGGTATAAATGTGAGACGAGGCGATGAAAAATTGCCATTTTGCCCTTTTGAACGGTCGCTTTGCCGCTTTTGATTGCGAAAGGAATATCACCGCCGGCAGTTTCCTTTGAAAAAAAGCAGAGAGCAATATGAAAAAAAAGAGAAACATTTTTTTTAAGCACAGCTATAAATGATTTTTGAAGGAAGTGGATTTTTTACTTGAAATTTTCCTTTCTTTTTCTGAAAGGATTTGCTGGAATATAAGATCAATAAGTGGGTGCTGTCACTCAAATCATGGCTGAGCAGCTGAAAATGGCCGAATCAGCCGGTTTGGCGTTGGCGAATTGGCAAATTCGCACCAACGATGGCCAATATCGCACGCAAACAAACCGTAAAGGCAACGCTCAGCAATTTTCCGGCCTGAGTTATTGGGCATTGTGTCCCGCACTCGCTCTGTGTGCAGCTTTGTGATGCTTCTTTTGCTGTGTGTGTAACGTACGTACGCTATCGGGCGAGTCATCATCGCCGCAGCCGCCAGAGTTATTTTTATTACAACAGGCATGCATTATAAAAAAGCAGCTCTTTTTCTTTCTCTCGCTCCACCAGAGAGCAGTACTTAAGGCTGAAATTTATGTCACAATAAAATTTACACTTCCACGTGAGATCATCGCGCAGCATTTATACGAGCGCAACATTTTCCCTGCGCAACAAACAATCGCGCTGACGAGAGGTCAAACGTGCACGTCCTGGACCCTGAAAGGAGATTCTGCGAGATTTCTTTATCGCCGGGCCTAAATCTGCGCGCCGATTTTCGGTTCGCCGTTTTATGGCCGTCGAGTTGAACAACTTGAAAACAAGCGGGAGCTAAATGGGAATTCCTCGAGTTTCAAATACAAAATAAAAGTCGTCGGGAGGAAATTTATAAGTTGTGTTATTCTTTCAAATTTTAATTTTATAAACCGCCATCAAATGCAAAATAGCTAATAATTTTAATTATATTGAATCGTTAAAGTTTTAAATGATCCCATTTCCTCCAACCATATAAAGACTAAATTAAATTAAGATGCAGACTATTATTTTTATTTTCATAAATTATTTTAGAAACGTCTGGTCTTTGTACTGATTTTCTTTCAATATTGGGGTATTGAAACTTTTATATGGAGAATTTTAATAAACTAAATGCAGGGAAACTGACTTGTGAGTTTTACAATTGATCCACGCATAATCAAATTTCTGACAGTGATGAAGCAATTTTACATACGAGTCTCTCAATTTTTTGGGGAAAAGCGTGCAGAATTCTCATAGCAGTTTTCGTTGAAATTTTAATTCCGTGTCAAGCTGTCGACAACGCGTCAAAATGTGCACACCACTTCCTGCCACTATACGTGCAGGAAAATCTGCGCGTCGAATTATTATTTTTCCGTTTTTCATTGCGGACAATCTCACGTCATCGGTGTGATTCTGATTTGACACACAAATACTAATGATCGCATCCTAGCTGTGACCGGAAGTTTTCAGCGACCCCATTCCCATCACCAGTTTTTCGGTTTCGACAAGAGCAAATTTCGGCCGAATAGATTTGCACGATTTAAAAAAAAAGCAAGAACCCCTTTACTTTAGGCGGTGGCGACGACCTATCCCAATAGAACACTCGGCGCGGCATAATATTAAAGGGGTGTGTTTGTTATGATTGGTGACACACACTCTATAATATTTTCCATACAAACTTTCTGACAAAATTTATTTGCTCTTTTCGCGAACGATCGGCGGAGGCGGCGGCGCTGTCGGGGCGCCGAGTGCGCACGCCCCGTCGGCCAACTCGGCGTTGCCATGGCGACGCCGACTTTCCACCGAGGGAGGTGGAGAGAAAATAAAGGGATTTTCCCGAGCAGGCGTACAACTCTTACATAATGCGATACGGTGGATGGAAAAAAGTGGAGAAAAACAAGAAAATTAGGCTTTTCCAACCCTTAGAACGTTACCATGACTACTACAGTGTATCAAGTAGAGTTTGCGCCCTGCCGCTGATGGGTGGAGAGCAGCCAGCGAGAGCACCAAGCCGGGGCGAAATTCCGTCGGACGGGCCGCCGATTGAAAAATCTATAACGCCGCGCGCGCGACCAGAGATGCTCCAGAAAGCTTCTTGTTTTATTTTGCGCTCTGCATTATTTGCAGAAAAGAGAAAGAGAGAGGAAAAAAGAGGAGCTTCCTGCGCGTACATTTGCAGCCAGTTGACAATGATGGCTCGGCACAAAGCCTGACCCAGAAGAGATCGCATATTTCCACAGAAAGCACGCTGATGATACTTTAATTGTGTGTATGTGGTGCCCCTCCCCGACATAGTGTTCTTCTTTCTGCGCTTCCAATCTAATGGTGCTCTTTATTTATATGTCTCTGGCACTTCTTGCCAACAAGAAAACAAACAAGAAAAAAGCTGTCTCTCCAGCAAAATGCACTTAGAATTTACGATGTAAAAAATTAATTTTATTATATTTAATTTCTTTTGTTTAATACAATAAAATTTCTTTTATAGAATAGTTTATTAATTAATATAATTTGATTTTTAAAACAGTACAAATTTTACTTTTCTAAATATTTAAATATTCTAATAAAATATCCATTATCTATCAGCTGAACTTTTCAAAATGCAATTGACAAGTCAAAAATAATTAAAATAAATATTTCTCTATCAACACAAACTATTTCAAAATTTAATTATCTGATGATATTATATAGTCCGATATAGTCAATGAGTATTGGTTGAGAGAGTATTTAATTATTGTAAATTATTATTTCAATTCCAAAATATCCTCTTCTCCTAGCATATAGCAAAATACATGAGTTCTGATACAAATATTTCTTGAACCTATATTTGATAAATTTATTGCTTTTCGTAATGTCGAAAAATTCCAAATATATTATGAAAATTCAAATATTTTCTTGTTGACTTCTCTTAGTTATAGAAATGAAACGAAATAATCAATATTTTCCTAGCTTCTTGTTTAACTTAATTAATTCAAGTAGATTAAAGCACACCATTTTCACACGCGAAAATGAGACAATTTAAAAAATGGTACTCACCAGGACTCCCCAAAAAAACCGACGAATATAGGACCCCTCTGCGTGCTTCAGAACGACTGTCTGCCGCTGACCACTCTCGTCTAGGACACCATTTACCTGCACAGAAGCAACACAACATACGTATAAGCACCAAAGCGAAAAACAGTTGTCGGTACACAATCACAACAAGATTTAAAAAAAACTTGAACTCAAAATGGAGCGTAAAAAACTACACAAGAGAAATAATTGAGCATTGTGGTCGCGCGGGCGGAACGGGGAAATTTGTGTATCTTTTTCCGGGGAAAATTAGATTCGGGCCCGGAGGTCCACTTTAATGAGAGGGTTCGTTTATATTCAAATCGGTGGAAGGATTCGTGATCCGCCCAGAGCGTATTGACCGAGCGCGCCGAGAGTCACGGTGCAAGATGAATGGCCAAATGCTTGTCAAGAGGGATAATTGTGAAATGCCTGGGAACACGCTGAGGCCAAACGAGAGCAGCGCTCAGAAAATTGGTTTTTCCTTCTCTCTCTCGCTTTTCTTGCTCGCTGATGGCCTTATAAAAAATTCATACTACACACAAGGCGCGGGAATATAATGCGGTTGTGAGAAATTACATTTTGTATGTGAGTGTGCGCGTATTATGTATTCACGCGCGCCGCTTTCATTATTTGGGACGCGCGCGCTCTACACTCCTCGGTGGCTCTGCCGAGAGATAAAAAAAATAGCGCAGCTCACGTTTATATTTATTATCCGCAGACACTACTCTTGGGGAAAAATGTGTGAAACTTCCATTTGCCAGCAGGGCGGGCGCATCTCGGCCCTTCCAATTTTCTACATGATATTTTTACGATCATAAAGAATAATTTTTGTGCTACGTGAAATTACCCGCGGTAATGTGGCCGCCCCACTATATTCATTTGCACACTCACACAAGAAATGATAATGCATGTAAGGGAAGCGACGAGGAGAAAAATCAGTGAGAGAAAGCTTGCTGAGGAGGAAAAAAAATTAAGGGTGCCATACGCAGTGTCGTAAACGCAATGACACTACTATCCTCCCCTTTCCCATGCATGAAGCGATATTTATAAAAAAAAGCGGGCAAAACACGCAATATGTATATATGAATGGATAGATCCATCTCGCTAGGGGTTGAGCATTGTGCCGAGACGTGTAATTACTTTGCCGCGAACAAAGAGACGGCGGCTTTTTGCGCGCGAGAAATTGCTGTCTACCGCCAACGCAAATGATAAAAAAGGGAGCGGAGGCGGTGCGGCGGCGGCGCTCCTCTTTCATCCGGCTTGTTTTGTTCCAAACTACCGGGAAAATTAATTATTTCCAGCACAATCCCCGGCTCAAGATTAGTTTAATTTCAGAAAAAAATTCATTCAAATGCAAATTATTTTTTTCAAACTGGGCTTTATTAAATTATGTGATTTATTTACACATTACTACTTTATTTTTCATAAATAAAATTTTATTTACTCTGCCTCTATACCAATAGTTTGAATTTTTTCACTTTTCTAAAATATATATTTTTTTTCTAAATTGGCTTGTTCCTATTTTATTTTAAGCAAACAGATGTCAAATCCTGTAGCAGGTACTCAAGTTAATTTAATTTTCGTGTCAGTTCTTGTTGATAATCCTTTTTTTAAATTATGTGGTTCGGATTTGGTAGCTGGATATTTAGAAAAAAAATTCTATCAGATCTTTGAGTTATGCCAAGCAAGCAACTTAACCCCTGAATTTGATTGTGGGGACTAAATTCCATTTATTGAATTTGTTAATTCGGATAAGTCGTTATGCAACCAGTTTTTTTAAAGCCACATTTATATATCAATTTTATTCCACAAAAGTATTTGTAGGGATAAAATACCTGGAATAAAATGATATGATATTAGCGGTTGAGCAGAAATTATGACATCATTTCAGCGGTTGGAATTCGAACGCAAAACGAGAGGTTGAGAAATGTATCGCGACAAAAGTGGGCAAAAACGTGGCGCGCATAAAAAGTGGAATATCAAACGTAATGAAAAGCACACAAGAGTCGGTGCAAGTTTTAATGACGAGCCAGCGAGAGCCCATGCAGACATTGCCTCTTTTTAAAATAATACGCCAATCAGAAATGACTGGTTTGTGATGCAAGGTGGGGCGAGATCATAAAGGAGGTGGTTCTCTCCTCTTTAAAAACAGTACACGGCGTCTCGCTCGATCTCTTCTCCATAAAATTTCCTCTCTCTACATGCATTTTTTTGCGCCAAACATGAAAATGACGTCGGGCCGGTCTTTGTAAAATTGTAAGCGGGGAATAATTTTTAAATTATCAGGCTCGGCAATCAGCGTGCAGTTGAAGAGCAGGAGATTTAAATGAGCGGAGACAAAGTGATGTTGAGAGAAAGACGCTCCGGCTCCGGCAGTAATTTAAGAGTTCGCTGTGTGGTATGTTAAATGAACTGATGCTGTGTTTGCGTGCATGCAATATCGTATGACTGCATGATCTCTCTCTCTCTCTCTCTTGCTCTTTCCATCTCTCTCGCAGACTCAGGCCGAGAGGCGTCGAACGAATCAGGGCCGCCGTAGCAGCCCTTGTAGTGCGCCTTGTAAATAACATTATTTTCTCTCTCAAGTACACATATTCGCACAAAAACACTTCACTTACCCCCCTGACTGATTAGGACGTAAGCGTGTCTCGCCACTTTTTGCTCTCCACGCCGTTCACCACACACGCATATTATTATTACGTGAAAAAAAAACGACAACAGCGGCAGCAAACACGAAACCAGCTCTAATTATTTTCTATACCAGAGGTGAAACATAATATTTTAGATGGTTTACACAAAAAGAAGCCAAAGACACACCGAAAATGTAAAAAATACATCAGCATTAACATTTAAAGATTTCAATTTTTTTTAATTAATAAAAAATTTAGAGTTTTATCAAATTTTTAATGATTTAGGAATCGTCAAAACAGTTTCATTTGTTTTTAGGGGTTCAATATTTTATTTCCAGCAATATTTAAATTTTTTACGAAATATCATTTTTATATAGAATATTAAAGAAATTGTTGTAAACCTCGAAAAATTTTTGGCTAAAAAATGAACCACCAAATTTGAAATTCAGAAGTTATGAAAGCTATATTTTAAAACTGTCTGGTGCTTTTTCTCCCAAAATAAATTAAGCACATATTTTATACCCTCTTTGCACTTGGAACGCAGAGAAATGAAGATTTTGACTTCCGATTGGTGCTCATTAATCAGCAAGGATCACTAAACCTGTCAGAAGCAGCTCTCAAACGCGAGACGTCAGACAAAAGGTCCACAAACAAGCAGTCAAAAGCGTGAAAAATTCGCCCAGAGAGAGCAGCTGATTCGCGTCCTTGACGCATATCTCTAATTCGGAAATAAAGAGGCTCGGGACGCGAAGAATAATGCGCCGCTCGTCATCATCATCATCATTTCGCCTATCCCAACTGTGCATCCGACGGAGTGGGCTCATTTAAAAGTGACAGAAACAAAATGTTTTTGCCACGCCGTTGAAAAGTTATTTCCTCTCCTGAATGATTGAAAGAAAATCGCATTCTTAGGTATATTAAAATTTACAGTCTATTCAAATCGACTCCGGCAAATTTAATTGAAACCTTTGATATGCATTGGAATTAATTGGACACGTTAATACTTAAATAATGAATGGCTGGCTGGCTGCTGGTGGGTTGGCTCAACTTCTTGGCTCGTTTAGAAATACGCACGCGATGAGCCTCCGCGATAAATTATTTTCGCGCCCAATAAATTATTCGCGCGTTGGAAATAGCTCTGCAATTATCGGTTATTTCACGCAGCACTCTTTGGCGCTTAATTTAATCTGTACTTCGAATTCGGTGTGTAGTGTAATTATTCCCTCTTTTTCTCTTTAAGTATAATAATCCTCTTACCTGAGTAACAGGATCGAAAGCGAGTGAATCCCATTTTATAAATTTTTATCCTCTGCAGATAAGCCTTATTTCTTTCCGAGCGGCTAGTTTTCTTTCGGACTTTTTTCTCTCGGTTAATTCCGTTGAACTCAGGTCGTGTATGGTAATTACAACGTCTGAACGAGGTTGTGGGAATGTGTCTTGAAGGGTCAATGCGTGCTGCATCATTATTGTGGGCCGGAAAATGAGTGATGGTGCTCAAAAGGGCCGGCCATGCTTGATACATCGGCCTTGTTTGAACGCGCCCTCAGAAACACAACTTGTCCATTTAGGCGGCGAATTAAAACACACACTCTCTCCGCTACTCCCAAACCAAATGCGATAACAATAAATTTCTAAAAATACAACTTTTAATCGGTGTGAGAATCTGCCGCCTTGCTTGAAGCACTTCTTTAATTCTCCTCGTCGACGCATTTGTGCGTAATTAAATGCCGCGCCAAAATGATTTATGGCGTGGACGCGTTTTGGGTTCGCGCACAGGTGAATCTGATACACCTCGCGAGACTTGCAAATTCAATCGAGCATATTCATTCGGTCGCCAAGAGGGAAGCGAGACTCGGTTGATAAAGAAAATGAAAAGCGTAGACCGGCGGCTGCGGACTAAAAGTTTGCCCCTGTTCGATGTCGGCGAAAATTATTTATGGCTCGCGCCGTTTGACCTGCTTTCTGTATTGGGGGAGCCAAAAGTGAATTTAATAAAGACACAGGTTGTGTTTTGAAGAGGGAGGAATATAATATAAAAATACAATAAAACTTATGTATTTTTCATTTGTAAAATACTGCCATAAGTTGATTTCAAAATATTACATATTAAAATTTAACTTAAAATTTGTTTTAATTTTACTTTATATTTATTAAACATTTTTTAATTGATTTATATTTTATTTTATATTTCATATTATACATAATAACACTTCAATTTGCATTTGTTAAAAAAAAATTATGTGTGTCAATTTATTTATTTTTATATATATATGTTCAATGTGGTTCAAAATTAATATCAGAATGAAAGATCAATAATATTTCAATGCATACCTTTGTTATCTAAATTTTGTGAATAATAAGTAAATTATACTTTCAACTTCCAATTGTGAGACCCTTAATAGTATTAAATATTAGGGACTATTATATTATAGATCATCATTTTTCACA